AAACTGGAAATCCAGGATGACCCATCATCTCAAGCAGGGAAGCATATAGGGCAGGGCGAACGGGGCGGCCGCCCCGGGCCCCGTGCTTCAGAAAGCCCCGCACATGCGCCGTGGCGCCCCTGCGCATGCGCCGTGGCAAAGGGGGGGCCCCGCGGAATTAGGCTGCCCGGGGCCCCACAAAACGGTCATCTGCCCCTGATCTCAAGCATTGGCACACTTACAACAGGATTATCTGGCTATATCAACTCCTTCCTCTGATCCTATGCTGCCAGCACTCCCAGCTACCTCTGTGACACCACTGACTTCCTGAGGAAACTTCAAAACATCAGTAGCTGGCTCCTGGCCAGCAGCTGCTGCCCTCCAGTCAGTCGCTGAGCTAATAAGGCAGTACTGCTGGCAGGAGCTGCCTAAATCTAAGGGGGGAAATTCTACAACAGCTACACCTGATGGAGACCTGATTTCATGCTCCCTAGTGCATTTTTCACAGCCATGAATTTGCTAAGACCTTGTCTTGGGGTCAGCGACTGCAGCTCCATAATCAGCCTCCCTGGGTGGAATCTACCCTAAGTCCTAAGGGCAAAGTTTCCTGCCGCCCAGTTGCCCTTCGCTGTCTCTTCCTTGGCTCTCAGACAATCTAGCCACTGTTAACAACCTCCCACCCAATAAAATTCTATGCCAGCCACACTGCCCTGGGGCTCAGGAATAGTGCAGCCCCATGGTGGTTAAATGGCTGTAAGGTCACCTTTGACCCTTGGCAGTCATCTGAGAATGAGCTGTCCCCTCTGTTACATCCCGCTCCTGCCAAAAAGGTTTTTAATTGTATACTTACGCAACACCACCTGCAGGACAGCAAATAATTCAGCTGACGCTTAAACTAGTAACAAATAAATAAATGCTGTGAGTGAGGGCTTGCTGGGAGGGGGAATTAGGAGGCAGGGAGAATAAGGGATGCGGCAGATTGGGGCTGCAGCAAAGGGTGGGGGAATATGGGGAGATCAGAGGCATTAAGGGGTTCAGGTGAAGGAGCTGGATAGTGGCAGGAGTGAAATTATGGTGGTAGGGAGAGGGAAGGGGTGTCAGCCATACCCACATTCTTCCTTACCATAAGTGCCCATGGCTTGGGAGATCCTGTCCCTTTGGGGGTGTTTGGGGCACCCTTCAAAATCTTAGTGCCCCTCTACCTCAAGTGGGTTCTGAGCTCCTCTCCCTTAGGGTTGCCAGATGGTTTCAACAAAAATACCAGACACACTGGACATTACATCACGATCCACATTACATCTTATTTAGACACTACGGGATGTTTATATTTTCTCATTTATATTTTCTTAATTTGTTTCCCAAACAGAAAGCTCAAATACTAGACTGTCTGGTTCAAAACCGGACACCTTTCAACCCTACTCCCCCTGCCCTTAAGCAGGTGCCGGGATCTGAGGATCCAGGCCTCTTTATAGGGGCATCTGACCCCTTGTCTGATCGCTTTCCCTGTCTCCCCTTGCTGGGGGGAGCTCAGGGCTGGGACAGCAGGGCCTGTGGGTTTGGATTGAGGAGCAGCAACAGAGCTGGTTTGTGTGTTCCCCACTCTGGCTGTGCGCATGTTTCCTCACAATTCTATTCCATTGGCCCCAAGAAATTCTCTCTCCCCCTCTGCCCATGGAGGAGCCCGATGCTGCCTTGTGACTTCAGACACATGCCCCTGGCTCCAGGCCAGGCACAGATGCCATTAATGGTTCATTCACTCGAGGATAAGAGACTGGAGCAGCCTCCAAGGGGGAGACCCAGCAGGGACAAGACCCGGTGCTGCAGGCATGTCTACACTATGAGATGAGTCAACTTTATGAAGGCTGATTTTTTTTTTTAGCACCCGATTTTGTAAAGTCAAAAGTGCACGTCCCACTGTGCACAAACATTTGACAGTGTATCGCTACCATTGACTTTGATAGCAATGCACTGGGGGTAGCAATCCTACAATCCCCTGCCACTCCTTTGCATTTTGGGTTAGACTCCCAGTGCCTGATGGGACAGAAATAGTGGGTGATTATGGATACCTGTGGTCCGCCTTCCATGGTGCACTTATCTCCTCTCTCCCCCCTGCTTGAAAGCAATGGCAAACAATCTTTTCTCATCCCTTTTTTCTCTCCTGTGGTCCTACTAAAGAATATCAATAAACTGCTTATGAAGCTTTCTGACGCTGCTCAGGAACAAATTTACACTAACACCCTTCCCCTGCAATCCCCAACCAGGAGCTTTCTATCTGCTACACAAGACACACAAAACTGGAAATCCAGGATGACCCATCATCTCAAGCAGGGAAGCATATAGGGCAGGGCGAACGGGGCGGCCGCCCCGGGCCCCGTGCTTCAGAAAGCCCCGCACATGCGCCGTGGCGCCCCTGCGCATGCGCCGTGGCAAAGGGGGGGCCCCGCGGAATTAGGCTGCCCGGGGCCCCACAAAACGGTCATCTGCCCCTGATCTCAAGCATTGGCACACTTACAACAGGATTATCTGGCTATATCAACTCCTTCCTCTGATCCTATGCTGCCAGCACTCCCAGCTACCTCTGTGACACCACTGACTTCCTGAGGAAACTTCAAAACATCAGTAATCTACCTCAAAATCCCATCCTGGCCACTATGGACGTAGAAGCCCTCTACACCAACATTCCACATGAAGACAGATTACAGGCCATCAACAACACCATCCTGATAACAACACTGCACACCTGATTACAGAGCTCTGCGACTTTGTCCTCACCCACAACTACTTCTGATTCAGAGACAATTTCTATCTCCAAGTCAGCAACACAGTCATGGGCACACGCATGGCACCACAATATGCCAACATCTTTATAGCTGACCTTGAACCACGTTTCCTCAGCTCTTGCCCCCAACACCCTTATTTTACTTACGTTACATTGACGACATCTTCATTATATGGACCCACAGAAAGGAGACTCTTGAAGAATTTCACAAGGATCTCAACAGCTTCCACCCCACCATCATCCTCAGCCTGGATCAGTCCACATGGGAAATCCACTTCTTGGACACTAAAGTACAATTAAATAATGGACAAATTTCCACCACCCTATACCAGAAACCCACCGACCACTATACTTACATTCATGCCTCCAGCTTCCATCCCAGACACATTTCTCAATCTACTGTATACAGCCAAGCCCTAAGATACAACCGGATTTGGTCCAATCCTACAGACGGAGACAAACACCTACAAGATCTTTACAGAGCATTCCTAAAACTGAAATACCCATCTGGAGAAGTGAAAAAACAGATTGACAGAGCCAAAAAAGTACCCAGACATGAACTACTTCAAGACCGATCCAAAAGAGAAAATAACAGAACTCCACTTGTCATTACCTACAGTCCACAATCCAAACCCCTCCAACTCATTATCCGCAATCTACAACCTACCTTGGAAAATGATCCCTCACTCTCAGAGGGAGAAAGACCTATTCTTGTTTACAGACAACCCCCTAATCTGAAACGAATTCTTTCTGATAACCATGCTACACAATTACATCATAAACATCCAGGAACACAGCCCTGCAATCAGCCACGGTGCCAACTCTGCCCACATATCTATACAAGCGAATTCATTACTGGAGCCAACCACATAAGCCACCAAATCAGAGGCTCATTTAACTGCACATCCAGTAATTTAATCTATGCCATCAAATGCCAGCAATGCCCCACTGCAATATATATTGGACAAACTGGACAGTCCCTATGGGAAAGAATTAATGGACACGAATCAGATATCCGTAAAGGGAACATATAAAAACCTGTTGGAGAACACTTTAATCTCCCTGGGCATTTATTAACAGATCTTCAAATAGCTATTTTGTTACAAACCAATTCCACAAGCCAAATACACAGGAAAGGACTGGATCTACAACTCATTCACAGGTTCGATTCTCACACCCATGGACTAAATAAAGATACTGGATGGCGGGGTCATTATCAACCTACCAAACAATGAAGGTGACAATGGTTCTTTGTCTATGTAGAATCTCATGATACCATCTATATGGTAGCAACGAAGAGTCCTGTGGCACCTTAGACTAACAGATTTATTGGAGCATAAACTTTTGTGGGCAAAGACCCACTTCGTCAGATGCATCAGATCTAAATGATTTGTCAGTCTTTAAGTGCTACCTGACCATTTGTTGTTTGCTAATTTATGGTTCTTATCTGCCTCTTTTGACTATCCAGCCTTTAGGTTCTTAGAAACTATTTGGTTTTCCTATTACATTCCAGCTTGGCTTTCCCCTTGATATTTTTTTCCCCCTGCCTCTTCTTGTCTCCCCCCCCCCCCCCCATTTATTTTGGTCCTGAACATCCAATACTCCAGTTATCTGAAGAAGTGGGATGTGCCCACAAAAGCTCATGATGCCACCTACATGTTTTGTTAGTCTTTAAAGTGCTACCAGACTATTTGTTGTTTTTTAAATTTATCCTGTACAGACTAACTCAGCTGCCCCCTGAAGCTTTTTTTCTCCTGGTTATCTATGCAAACACCATAGCGAGGAGCCCGTGCAGCTGCAAAGTGCTATGGATAAGCATTACAAACATCTTACGTTGCAGCTGCCTGGAGACTAACCAGGAGCTGCTGGAGCAAGGAATACCCTGAGAGGGGCATGAACACAGACACGTATGAAACATGTGAGTGTAGTAATGGGCTGATGCCGGCAGCAGTTGTTCCTGTTGATACTGTGAAATGGCCCGTTCTGGTCTTGTCAGATAAGCACAGACTGGTGGGACCACACAGTGTTGCAGTTATGGGATGATCAGCAGTGGCTGCAAAACTTTCGCATGCGTAAGGCCACTTTCACAGAACTGTGCAAATTGCTTTCCCCCACTGTGAGGCTCAGTGATAGCAGAATGAGATCCACTCTGACATATGTGAGTGACAATAGCCCTGTGGAAGCTTGCAATGCCAAACAGCTACTGGTCAGATAGGAATTTATTTGGAGTGGTAAACAGCACCCGAGCCCCGGGAGTTCCCAGCGGCCCAGGGTGCATGCACCGGCATCCCAGGCCAGGGGCGCCAGATTCAAAAGCCGGTCGTCCAGGAGCCAAGGGGGAGAGACGGAGCCCCGCTTGGGTGGCAAGGTGGTCGGTGCGGTGAGCGGAGGACGCGGCGGGACCGGCAGCGGAGGAACCCCGCGGCCGGAGAGGGTGAGTCTCATCCGGCGCCCTGCCGGATCAAGCACAGCAGGACAGAACTGAAGGGGACGGAGGAAGTAGCCCAGGACGAGGTCGGAAATCCCCGGGGACCGGTGAGGTGCGGCCGTAGCCCCCCCGGTCGGGCGGTGCATTTAGGATGCCCACCCATAGGGTCCTGGGCTGGGACCTGGAGAGAGGGTGGGCCCAGGTCCCCCTCCGCCCCGAGCGGTAACCAAAGAACTAATTGAGACAACCGAACGTGACTAATCGCCCCTATCCAGCGGGGCGGAACGTTACACCCACCCTGAAGGACAGTAATATCAAAATGAGACCCACTCCCTCAACAGTCAACCGGGAACCAATTTGGAGCAGGTAAATCTTACAATAGGGGCTGCTGAGATCCAAGTAGCCAAAGCAATCAATACCCTTCGACTACGAAGGACAGTGACTCTGGGAAACATGCAGGACATAGTGGAGGGCTTTGCCATGATGGGGTTCCCTAAATGTGGTGGGGCAATAAATGGAACATACATCCCCCACCTTCGCCCCGACCACCTTGCCAAAGAGAACAACTCCAAAAGGTACTTCTCAAGGCATTGTATGGCCACAAATATTTAGCAGCACAATAACGATCTACAAATCACGAATTTTCAGATGATACTTCCACCATACGTGTTGTACAAAAGTCATCGTAGTCTTGTAAAAGAGGTGAAACATAGAATCATAGAATACTAGGACTGGAAGGGACCTCGAGAGGTCATCAAGTCCAGTCCCCTGCCCTCATGGCAGGACCAAATACTGTCTAGACCATCCCTGACAGACATTTATCTAACCTACTCTTAAATATCTCCAGAGATGGAGATTCCACAACCTCCCTGGGTAATTTATTCCAGTGTTTTACCACCCTGACAGTTAGGAACTTTTTCCTAATGTCTAACCTAAAGCTCCCTTGCTGCAGTTTAAGCCCATTGCTTCTTGGTCTATCCTCAGGGGCCAAGATGAACAAGTTTTCCCTCCTCCTTATGACACCCTTTTAGATACCTGAAAACGGCTATCATGTCCTCTCTCAATCTTCTCTTCTCTAAACTACACAAACCCAATTCTTTCAGCCTTCCTTCATAGGTCATGTTTTCTAGACCTGTAATCATTCTTGTTGCTCTTCTCTGGACCCTCTCCAATTTCTCCACATCTTTCTTGAAATGCGGTGCCCAGAACTGGACACAATACTCCAACTGAGGCCTAACTAATACAGAGTAGAGCGGAAGAATGACTTCTTGTGTCTTGCTCACAACACACCTGTGACTGCATAGTGGTACAGATCCTCACACGCTCCCAGACAAACTTAACTGCCCCATGACAAGCCTGGCCTCCCCTCTCCCCAGCCCAAGGCACGAGCAGGGTCATGCAGGGCAAGGCCAGGAACAGAGCTGAGGCAGGGCTGGCTGTGTCCATGTAGCACCTGGTGCAGCCAGGCTGCCTAGGCCCAGCAATGCCCCAGAAAAGCCAGAGCCCTGTCTCCTTCCTCCCTCCCACAGCGTGCCCATCACCTCTTATACCAGGCACCTGTCCCCCATCACTGATGAGTCTCTCCTGCCCTCTCCCCAGCATCCCCTGACCCCTAAGGATTTCTAGTTCCCCTCCCCCATCCCACAGGCTCAACCTGACAGCCCCAGAGGGAGACCCTGTGGTGCTCCATCCTCCACATCCAGTGCCCCCATCTGTACTCCTTAAACAGAGGGAGGGGTCTGGTCTCGGGCACCCCCCCAATATGCCAGTGCTATGTGTGCACCCTCTCCCCCTACACTGTTCATGGGGAGGGAGGGGTCCCTGCTATCCCATTCACGCTGGGGGTGCTCACTGGGCCTGCCTGGGAGCAAGGCAGTGGGATGGGGAGGCGTATTGCACCCCCTATTCCCTGGCCTGAGTCCCTCTCCCCTCCTATCCCAAGGGAACATCTTGGGGTCGGATCCCTGCCTTGAGATAGATAGGGCAGGATGGGCGTGACT